TGCTCCCTTGCAGACGCTCCACATGGACGTGTGGGGCCCAGCCCGCGTCCGTGGACAGGGTCAGGAGCGGTACTTCCTGATCGTTGTTGACGACTTCTCGCGCTACACCACGGTCTTCCCCTTGCGCACCAAGGGTGAGGTCCCTGCTGTTTTGATCCCTTGGATCCGCGCTTCTCGTCTCCAGCTCAGCGAGCGGTTCCACTCGGACTTTCCTGTCTTGCGTCTGCACTCTGACAGAGGTGGTGAGTTCTCCTCCGACCTCTTGGCAGCCTACTGTGCGGAGCACGGCATTGAGCAGTCGTTCACGCTTCCGGCCTCTCCACAACAGAATGGGGTTGCTGAGCACCGCATTGGCTTGGTCATGGAGGTCGCTCGTACCTCCTTGATCCATGCGGTTTCCCCTCACTTTCTGTGGCCGTTTGCAGTCCGGTACGCTGCGCATCAGCTCAACCTCTGGCCCCGTGTCTCCTTGCCGGAGACCTCGCCCACACTGCTGTGGACGGGGGAGGTTGGCGATGCGTCGCGTTTTCGGGTCTGGGGATCTCGGGCTTTTGTCCGCGATACGTCTGCGGACAAGCTCTCCTCCCGCGCTGTTCCTTGTGTCTTCCTTGGCTTTGTCCCGGACGCGTCTGGTTGGCAGTTTTACCACGCCACCTCGCACCGTGTCCTGCCCTCTCAGGACGTCAATTTTGACGAGTCGGTGCCCTACTACCGCCTCTTCCCCTACCGCACTGCCCCGCTCCCTCCCCCGCCTCTCTTCCTCGCGCCAGGTGCTGCTGTGGTAGACCCCCTCCCCCCTCAGGGTGCCGCTCCCTCAGGTGTGTCCCAGGTAGACCCGGTTGACCCTGTCGAGGTAGCTGTCGACTCTCGTCCTGCTAGGGGTGCTGAGCCTGAGCGTGCGGAGCCTGGGGGTGCGGAGTCTGGGGGTGCTGAGTCTGGGGGTGCTGAGTCTGGGGGTGCTGAGCCTGGGAGTGCTACACCTGGAGGAGCTCTCTCCTCCGAGCAGCTGCGTGAGTGGTACTTACAGTATTGCAGCCTCAGGAGAGGTGCTTCTGGCGCTCGGAGCGCTGCTGGAGCTGGTGCTAGTGCTTCCCCTCCTAGGCGGGCGCTGCCCTCTCCCCTGCAGCTCCGCGAGTGGTACGCTCGACACTGCAGTCTCCGGAGTGGCGCTCCTCGCGTCGTGGACCCCTGTGCTGCTGCTGGAGCTGCTGGGGGTGCTGCTGGTCCTGGTGCTGCTGGTGCTGGTGCTGCTGGAGCTGCTGGAGGTACTGCTGGTGCTGCTGGAGCTGCTGGAGGTGTTGCTGGTGCTGGTGCTGCTGGAGCTGCAGGAGGTGCTGCTGCTGCTGCTGCTGGTGCTGCTGGAGCTGCTGGAGGTGTTGCTGGTGCCGGTGCTGCTGGAGCTGCAGTAGGCGCTGCTGCTGCTGGCGGTACTGCTGGAGCTGCTGGAGGTGTTGCTGCTGCTGGCGCTGCTGGAGGTGCTGCTGGTACTGGTGCTGCTGGTACTGCTGGAGCTGCTGGAGGTGTTGCTGGTGCTGGTGCTGCTGGAGGTGCTGCTGCTGCTGCAGCTGCTGGAGGTGCTGGTACTGCTGGTGGTGCTGCTGGTGCTGGAGCTGCTGGAGCCCCCGGTCTTGGAGGTGCTCGTACTGGAGGTACTGGAGCTGCTGGGACTGGAGCTGCTGAGGGGGTTGGCGCTGGAGGTGCTGAGCGACTGCGGCCGTACTACGTTCCGCTCCTTCAGCAGGTTCTTGGTCTCCAGCCCTCTCCTGGTCCTACTCCTCCTCCCCTACTGAGTCCACCACCTGTCCCGTCGCAGTCACAGTTACAGCCTGCCTCTCCACTGCCTGGTCCTTCTCCTTACACTGCGCCGACAGGTAGTTTTACGGAGCGTCGTGAGCCTGAGTCTCGTCCTCCGTCGCCTGAGTCTAGTCCTGCGTCTTCTGAGTCTCGTCCAGGGTCGCCTGTCCGCACTGCACGCACTGGTCGTCGTGCTCCACGTGAGCGTCCTCCTCCTGTCCTAGGCACTCACTACATGACCCTGCGTCCGTCCACTACTCCACAGCGCGTCCCTCTGCCGTCTCCTCCTGAGTCCTCTCTTCCTGACGTTGCCGACCCGCCGTCAGACCTTACTCGTGCTGCCAGTCCTACTGTCGCGCGTCTCCTTGCCACTGTTGTCACTGACCCTACCTTTGAGTCCTCTGCTGCGTCTGCTCTAGTCGCTGAGCTTGTTGACTTTGCTGCCGCCTGTCGTCTAGACTACGCCGCTAGCCTTGTCGCTGAGTCTGAGTCTGTCTGCCCTCCGTCCGTCGGGGGTGAGTGTGCTCTTGGCACGGACGTCCTTGAGGACAGACAGGAGGAGTTTGAGTGCTTTGCTGCTGCTTTACCTCATCTTGTGTCCATGCTGATTGCCCCTGAGGGAGACCCGGACGCACCAGACATCCCGACCCCACGCTCCTACGCAGAGGCGATGGAGGGTGAGTACTCCTCTCAGTGGCAGACAGCCATGGACGCAGAGATGGCTTCCTGGAAGTCCACAGGCACCTACGTCGACGAGGTTCCCCCACCTGGGGCGAACATTGTCAGTGGCATGTGGATTTTCAGGGTGAAGCGGCTGCCGGGTTCTCCGCCTGCCTTCAAGGCGCGTTACGTTGCACGAGGCTTCAGTCAGCGAGAGGGAGTTGACTTCTTCCAGACCTTCTCCCCGACCCCGAAGATGACCACTCTTCGGGTTCTGCTGCACGTCGCCGCTCAGCGTGACTACGAGCTCCACTGCCTTGACTTCAGCACTGCGTTCCTACAGGGCACCCTGCACGAGGAGATCTGGCTGCGCCGCCCACCTGGCTTCACTGGGTCGTTCCCTCCTGGTACCCAGTGGAGCCTCCGGCGGCCGGTCTACGGTTTCCGCCAGGCGCCCTGTGAGTGGCACGACACACTGAGGACTACTCTTGCTGCTCTTGGGTTTGCTCCTTCTACTGCTGACCCGTCGCTGTTTCTACGCACCGACACCACTCTGCCACCGTTCTACGTTCTCGTGTACGTAGACGACTTGGTCTTTGCTACTGCTGACACTGAGGCACTCGCCCACGTGAAGTCGGAGCTGCAGAAGAGACACACGTGCACAGACGTGGGTGAGCTGACAAGCTATCTTGGCTTGCGGATCACCCGGGACAGAGCACAGCGCACCATCACCTTGACTCAGTCACACATGGTGCAGCAGGTCCTTCAGCGCTTCGGCTTCACGTACTCCTCGCCTCAGCCCAATCCTCTGCCTACCGGTCACTCGCTCTCAGCTCTGCCTTCGGATGAGTCCGTAGAGCCGAGTGGCCCGTATCCAGAGCTTGTGGGCTGCCTCATGTACCTGATGACCTGCACTCGACCTGACCTAGCCTACCCTCTTAGCATCCTAGCACGCTATGTCGCTCCTGGCCGTCACCGGAAGGAGCACATGGATGCCGCTAAGAGGGTGTTGCGCTACTTGTGCAGTACGTCGGGCATGGGGCTTGTGCTTGGAGGACGGCGCGACGTTGTCCTTACTGGACACTCAGACGCTTCTTGGGCTGACGACCAGGCTACTCAGCGGTCGTCTCAGGGTTACACCTTCAGCCTTGGCTCTGGCTCAGTTTCTTGGCGTTCTACACGCTCTTCCTCTGTTCTCAGCTCCAGTTGTGAGGCTGAGATCTACGCCACAGCCATGGCTGCCCAGGAGCTTCGCTGGCTCACCTACCTGCTGACCGACCTGGGAGAGCGGCCTCGTTCTCCTCCAGTGCTGTACGTCGACAACAAGGCCGCCCTTGCCCTGTGTCAGGAGCACAGAACGAAGCACATCGGTCTGCGCTACTTCCTTGCTCGAGAGCTGCAGCAGCGTGGTCAGCTTCGTCTTTCGTACGTGGCCACTCGGGCCAACACTGCTGATGTGTTCACCAAGGCGCTTCAGCCTTGTGATCATCAGCGTTTCTGTACTGTTCTAGGCCTTGTGCCTACTGTCCCTCACTTGCTCACTTCTTGACTCTGCTTGTACTGTGATCTCTATATATATACCTGCATGCTTTCACTCGCTAGGTTGTGATCACTGTACCTCTTGTTCTATTATCAAACTGCATGTGAACTGGTCTTGTGACCACTTGCTTATGCTCGGAATTTGTGTGGTATCCTTGAGATCCACCCTGAGCTTTGCTTTGCTTTGCTTTGACTGGTCCTGTGACCCCTTGTTCTCCCCCACTTAGCCTATGGGGGTGTGTCAAACATTATATGTGTTATATTTGTGTAGGCTATTGTGGGTTAGCCTCTAGGGGGTACAGAACTAGGTTTGTCATACTTGTACTCACATTCTGCTACTAGTCAATCATTCCTGTTTCGTTGATTTTGACACTATTGCCATTCTAGTCAGTTACCATGTTGCACTTCGCAACTGCCTTGTGCGGTTACTGGGCAGTCAAGGGTCACGACCGTTTGATTGTCTTCGACTGTTGACCTTCGGGTGACCCTCGACTTTCCGCGTGCTCTATATGAGCTAGTGCGGTACTGGTGCAAGCGTCTGCTTCGCTATGAGAAGACGCGACAGTGGAGAGCCTTCGGGAATGCTTAACCTTTCGGTTATTCCAACAATGGCTACTCCTAGGAACTTTACACGTGTCAATGTCCCTCGATTTCTTGTCAGTTGCTAAAAAGAGCCTAGATTTGTACTCCTTCAGACCGTAGGATTCCGTTGGTACACTTTGTATGTTCATAAGTCGAACATTGACCAAACGGCCCTATTGTCAGGCACTCTCGAAGCTCTCTTTGGCAATGGTGTTATCAGGGTATGTGACATTCCCGGGAAGCACGGCAATCCCAGGTTTTTCAACTACTTCCTCGACGCGCTTCTTCAGACTATCAGTTACTACATATACAGGCATTGGTGGAGAGAAAGACACAAATCTTTTCTGGTGGAGCTTCTGGTGCTCAGCTCTATCGTACGGCCTGCTTTTGCAGATCCATTCTCAGTTTCAGCTCATCATCACACCATGGCTCCGCCAGAAGGTACTCCCGCTGTCCACGCTCCGGCTGCTGGTCTCCACGGGAAGAAACCCGCGGATGCTCGTCTCGAGCCGATCACGCCGAAGACTCTGTTCAACGGTGCGTCGTCCTCCCAGGGAGAGCAGGAGATCAAGGAGTTGACAGCTCGTGCGTCGGCGTTGCGCATCAATGATCTGCCTGCATGCAACAATGCAAGCGTCAATGACAAGGACAAGGCGGTGGCCGGTGATCCGTCAGTTCCGGTTGTTCAGGACCACGGCAAGGCCAAGGAGCAAGACGCGGAAGATGATGGCGGTTACCTTAGCGATGACCCCGACGAGTGCCAAGATCCGGTGACGCTCAATGAGATCGCTGCGCAGGCTGGAGTCGCCATCATACTGCTGGTTCCCTTCGCTTGGAGCAAGGAGATTCCGTGCATCATAAGCACCGTCAACCACCAGTTGCTGATGTGGGGAAAGCACATGTCGGAGAGTGTAAAGGAGACCACGAGGTGTCAGCAACTTACGGCGACCTTTCTCTCCAAGCAGCATTTTGGCCGCATCGAAGTCGTCTTTCTGTTGGAGGCGGACGCAAGGTTCATGAGGGGCAGGGAGATTGAGCACTACACCGCGAATGACAAGAAACTGACGCTCGGCTGGCAGCATCCGGAGAACAAGGAGTACCTCAAGGAGCGTGCTGCTCACCCGGAGGCGATTGAGGTGCTGCTCAAGGGGGTGCCGGCTGTTATCTCACCGGCGATGATCAAGAAGAGCCTGGTCTCGGCGCTGCTGCTGAAGCGCGGCCGAACGGCGTTCCGTGACGGCCTGGCTTTTCACCGTGTGTTGGATCCTGTGTCGGGGTCGGATACTGACAAGATTAAGGGCTTGGTTTTCAGGCATCAGGGGGATAAGTATAAGTGGTGGCACAAGGTCACCGACAGAGTTCACGGGATTGAGCTGCTGGTATCTTTCCCTGCGCTGACCTGCGATTTCTGCAGCGGAATGCACATGTCGTGTTTTCATGATGACTATGTTAAGGAGAGGCAAAACAATATTGGGAATTGGAATCTGCCTCTGCTGGGTGCTTATGAGATGAATGGTAACTGTTCCAGCTGCTCCTCTTACCTTGATTTTCAGGTGGCTGCAGCTGCGAGCCCCCACGCTGACTTCTGTACGATCCTCCCCCCGAGCAGCGGCTTTCATGAAGCTCTCAGCGGCGTTGAAGATCTTGCTGGCGGACCCTGCGATTGCCTTCACGTATACGGGAGGGGTCCGGGAGGAGTGGTTGTGCTCTCAGGAAGATTGCGGGAAGGCTCACGGCTCCAGCTTCGAAAAGGCGGTGGAGCATGTCCAGTCGGTCCGCCACGGCACCGGATTGCTCAAGGCGGGAGCGGCGACTCGCCTGAGCAAGGGGAAGCTGAATCTCGCGCAAGTCAAGGAGTATGGGATGTGACTGACCGGCCGTGTGTGCGGAGGTGCTGGAGGGTACCTGTGCAAGCTTCAAGGAGACAGACGGGGGAGGAGTTAGTAACGGTGTCAGCAGAGGTACAAGTGTCATCAGCCGTAGCGTCAGATTTGGTTTCCTTGTGTTGTAACACCACTAATAAAGCCCGTGGATGCGAGGGGCTCGTTTTCAAGTGGATCAATGGGTAACACACCATTTCTTACCATCTGCGGGGTTAACGTGAATGGCCTCGGCAGCAGCGGGAAACGGAGCAAGAACAAGAGATGGTTACGAACAACAGCGGACATAATGGTCCTCTCAGACACGAGGATTAAGGAGGATCATAACTTTTGGAAAGAGATAAAGCCGAAAGCGTGGGCTGCGGTCGGACCGAGTCAGACGGCGGGGGGGGTGGCTGTCTTATCTTTCGGCAAGCACATTCGCTTCTCCGACGTCCTGCCGGATTCAACGGGGAGACTTTTAGGGGTGACAGTAGAAGGAGGGGAGGAGCCTTTTAGGCTGGTAGCTGCATATCTCCCGGCGCAAGCTTGCAACAGAGCGAAGTTTCACAGGGAGCACCTTGTACCTTTCGTCCAGGCGCAACCGCAGTCGATGCACCTGGTGGTGGTGGGGGACCTCAATATGGTTGCCGACCCAGATCTGGATAAATCGTCCGGCGTGGGTTCGGGGAGGGAGAATCAGCGCTTCCTGGACGCGTGGCAGCCGCACGATCTCCGTGATGCGTTCCGCGCTCTGCACCCCACCGACAAGGAGTACACTTTCAAGGATAGAGCCACTCAGTCGAAGACACGCATCGACAGAACCTTGGTGTCCACATCGCTGCTTGGCAGTTTGGAGGGCGCCCGGCATGTGGAGGTGCCGAAGAAGCTGACTGACCACAGGGCACGACGGTATCCCAGCGGAGCTCTTCACGGCCCATTGGGACCTGCTGGGGGGACGCTTCATGAGCTTCGTCAGGAGTTTCGAGGCGACGGGGGCGCTGCCAGAGTCACTGACGACGGCGGTAACAGTCTTACTGCACAAGAAAGGGGAGAAGGACCTGCTGACAAACTACAGGCCAATCACGCTGCTTACAACAGTGTACAAGGTCCTGGCAAGAGTGCTAGCAAACAGGCTCAAACGCGAACTGCATCACATCATCTCAAGGGAGCAACACGGGTTCATACCGGGGCGAAGCCTGGCGGACGCGGTGGCGGTGGTTGCGGATGCGATAGAAGCGGCTGACAATGACGGGGAGGACTGGTACCTCTTGCTCGTTGACTTCCAGAAGGCCTACGACACAGTGTCGCGACCTTTCCTTTTCGGGACGCTGGAAAAGCTCGGCCTGCCTGCACAGTTTGTCAGATGGGCAGAAGGTCTGCATCAGGGGTCAGGGATGAGGCTGGCGATAAACGGCTGGGTCGGGGAAAAGGTCGAAATGCAAAGGGGGGTAAGACAGAGGTGCTCCTTAGCGCCCTACCTTTTCCTCTGTGCTCTGGAGCCGCTCTGCGCGGAGATAAGGAAGCGCGGCCTGGGGGTCAAGGCGGACGGGGGAGACGCGGTGTCATATGTCGGTTACGCGGATGATACTTCTTTGATCTTGAATGGCGCGGACCAGCTTCACTCAGCGGCAGCAGCGCTGGATTGGTTTGGGGAGCTGTCAGGCCTGCGCATCAACCAAGACAAGTCTATCGTCGTGCCGCTGGGTAGGAACAAAAGCAGGACGTCCTTACTAGGGATCAACTTCAAATGGGCAGAGGCAAGGGCCCCTGAGCGCCTGCTGGGAGTATGGGTGACGCCGGACGGAGACGCGGCACCGTCCTGGGAAAAAGCATGGGAGAGGGGAAAAAAGGAGCTGATCCAGTGGGAGCGTCAGCACTTGCTAACGGCATCGAGAGTAACGGTCATCAACAGTTACATCATGCCAATACTGCTTTTCCAGGCACAAATATACCCGCCGCCGGAGGAGCTATGGGCGAAAATTCGGAAAACCTGCGACAACTACGTCTCGAAAGGGGAAGTGACGTCGGAAAAAATATTCGTGCTCTGGAGTGGGGAGCTGGCGCGGTTGCCGAAGAAGGACGGCGGTTTGGGGCTGATCGACCCGAAGGACCGGCTGGACAGTCTGGCGATACGGCAGGTGGGGAAGTTTTTGACGGAGCAAGATGCCACCAAGAGATGGCTGATGGAGAAGGCAGCGGTGCTTCCACAAGGCGTCGCGACGTTCTTCGCCCATAAGTGTGCCAGTAAGCATTGGGGGAAAGGGAGCCAGAGGTGGAAGGCGATAGTGGAAGTGTTCTGGGAGTCCCCGTTCGCGGACCTGCCGGAGCCGACCAACTGCTGGGAAGCAGAACGTGAGCTGCTATGCTTCAACCGGCGCATCATGTTCCGGGGGGGAAGCCCTTTCGGGAACCAACAGGGCACTGCTGGGATTCTGACAACCAAGTTGGGGAACCTGCTCGTCACCAGGGAGGATGGGAGCAGAGGCTTGAAGGACATCAAAACGTTGACAGCAGAGTTCGGGAGCGTGGCGTCGGCCAGATGGACGAAAAAAGCCTTTGAGGCCTCTCCGGCGGGATGGAAATTGCTGCTGACGGCGCCGAAAACAGCCGCAGCGGTCGTGGCAGCGGCGAAGGTGGTGCGAACGGTTCTGACACGGACGCAAAAATTCCTGTACTGGACGGTGAGAGGGGTCAAGGAGGGAGAGGTGGCGACAGATCACCTCAATTGCTCGGACGGTTCCAACCTGGTTGCGCCGCAGAGTCCGTACGCGGTCACTTTCCCCGTTAGGAGTGTGGAGCCGGTGGTGGCCACGGGCGGCACGGTGCTTGGAGCAACGGGCGAGCCGCGGGTCAAGCTATGCCAGACCTCGCTGGTGGGGAAACGCATGAAGCCGGCGGCGCCTAAGGAGATAAGGAGGGTGCTAACGGGGCCGGCCATGGCCTCTAGACGAAGGCATGAGTGGGATGAAGGGCTGGGCAGGAAGATTGACTGGAAGGCCGTGAGAGAAAGGAGGGACTCTCTGGCAATCCCCTACAGAGTGCGGGACGTGGTGCTGCGGATGCACAGCAAGAACCTACAGGTGGGGGGGAGGCTGGTGTTTCTTGGTCCCAGAGGGTGTTGTTTGCACTGCGGAGTTCCAGAAACCCTAGATCACTGCATGCGCACCTGCCTCGTCATTCAGCCGGTGATCGGCGCGCTGCTGAGCTCACTGAGGATGATGGATCCGGCGGACCAAACGAGGTCGCTAGGCGACATGCTGTTCAAAGAAGGGGCCACGAAGTCCGGGTTTCCGGGGGCTACATTGACAGCGGTGACGATGCGGAGAATCTGGTTGGCCAGGGTGGATGTGGTGTTTCGGAAGGAGAAATTTCAACGGAAAAAGGTTGCAAGGGTGGCAATATGTGACTTCATGCGGCACGAGAGGCTATACAGAGCAGAAAAGTTGAGGAAGGCAACAGGTTGCAGGGTCTAAGGGCAGCCACGGGACCCGTGGGGTGGCCTGGCAGGAGATGAGAGGGCAGCGATTGCGAGGATAAGCGAGGCAGGGGAGCAAGCCACGTGGATAGTAGATTTTCTGTCTATCTGGCAGAACCCCAAGACCGTCCGTCAGCCATCTTAGACACGTGTAGGGGGGAGGCGCCCGAGTCACGGCTGGGGTACGTCGTTTCCCTCCAGAGTCCAGTTACGACTGTGAATGTATTTGCATCTGTCATAGTGCATACGCATTCTAAAAAAAAAAAAAAAAAAAGTTGTAAATTGTAATATAATGTGGGCAATTGGGAGATAATATAGCTGAAGTGTACACCACTATCATGAGCTGTTCAACAGAGTTGCATAAAATAACGAATAATGAACCTGTGACAATATGGACTCACGATACAATGAATGACGCGAGATACCCGTGATCTCCCGGTTACAAGACCCCCCCGCAGGGCTGATTTTATCAGGGTAATTACCCTGATTTCAGGGTGATTTCAGACTTGTCACATTGTGGTCCCTGTAATTTCAGGTTTTACGAATTTTGAACACTGATTCAGTCAGAGTAGAACTTTAGCGAACCCTGAAATTTCGTGTACACTCTCAGAGTACTGGTGTTGTGGACCCTGTCAATACAGAGTACGCGTCATGTGGACCCTGAATGAGACGTTATCGGGACGAAGCTTCCTGGAAATTTCGTCCCGATAACCCCCCATGTGCGTAATCATGATTTCGTTTGTACCCTTGTGAGGGAGCCCTTTCACGCGCATAACTGACATATAATACCGACAAGTAACACCCAGATGGGAAGGTGGGGTGGATGTTTGCAGGGAAGGTGGGGTGGGGTGGATGTTTGTGGTGTTGTGCGAGGCGCAGCGTGTTGCGGGGATTTGCGGCAGAACAGCTCGGACACAGCAGATCAGCTGATCTGCTGTGTCAGGGCGAATCTCTCGTCCGTGACAGGGCAATTTTCTGGGCGAATCTGAGGGCGGGTCATACTGTACAGTCGGTCTGTCCGAACCCAAACACGTGTCGCGTCCTGGAAAGGCCACGCGGACCCAGCATCCCGCCCAATCCATGTGCCAACTCTACGCGGACATCAGCAGCCCACCCACAAAAATATAACCAAGGAGAACGCATCCGTTTCGCGAACCAGGAAATTGTCGTGCTGGTAACTTGGAAATCGGGAAACCAATCGCGTGAGTCAACATTCCGCCCATGACGATACCGCCCCCCGCATCCCAGTCGCTGCGCAACAAAACAATTGGAAATGTGGGGCGCGCGAAATTGCAGTGACGAAAAACACAACACTGATTTCGTTCTGTGAACCCTGACCCATCAGAGTTTGACTTTGCTGAACCCTGAGCAATCAGGGTGGCATTCTTTTGAAAAATGTGCACCCATAATAGAGGGGAAAAAATTTCCCCCGAATCAGGGAGGCCTAATATGAAACGTCAGCCCTGCCCCCCCGCATAAAAGCCCCGTGGGTCTTCTATTCGGACCAGGGGTCTTTTATTATGTCAGTCCTG